ATATACTCACACACACCCACAGACGGGCTCACTCGCTGGCTCAACTACTATTATTATAATTATAATTAGTCAGATTTGAAATTATTGTGAATTTTGTGCATTAAATTTAATTGCGGCTAATTCCGTTGAATGCGCGCCAAACTTTGGTACCATACACACACACACATAGTGGCCAACTCACACACTCACACACACACAGCAAATTAACCCCTTGAGTGCCACTCAGTTGCGTTTGTCAAGTTGCTTTAATTGACTTTTAAATTTGCAAAAAAAAAGAAATTCACAAAAATCAAAGCGGCGCAGGTTGAGTGGGTTGCCGATCGGGGCAGCGCGGGGCCGGGCGGGGCGGGGCAGAGCGTTCGAGGTCGCCTTCTAAAGTGCAGCAGCAGCAACAACAACAGCAGCAACAGCAGCAGCAATTGCACTCGTGTTGGCAACGTCGTCATAAAAATGTTCACACCTCAGACAATGCACACAAGTGGCATGCAGCGGCGGCGGCGGCGGCTGAGGCAAGGGCAAGCGCCAGGGGGCGGGCGGGCGCCGTTTGGGGCACTTGACTGGACCGAGGGGTTGGGGGCGCCGTGGTGGTTGAGGCTAAAGTTGGGCCGCAGTCGCGCACAGCTCGAACGCCTCAGCGAAGGGCGACGAAATTCGTGTGTGTGTGTGTGTGTGTGTGGACGCGCGTGTTGTATGCCCCTTTTTAGAGGGTATTACAATTTGATCATGAAGTGTGTAACACATTCGTATGTATGTATATATATATTCGCCCAGTCTTAAAGCAATAGTTGGGAAAGCTTGCATAAGTCCGTTCTTAAGAATGTCAGTCGGCCAGATCGTACGTCTATATTATATAGCTGATGCCATGCGACGGTTCGATCAAAATTAACATGCCTCTACGAAATATTTTGTTGTTTTCCAGATACGACTTTTGCCATGCTGCTTACTTGTATTCACATCGGACGTATATTTGCTACATTTCAAATGCGTATCAAATCGGTTGACTATATCATTTGGCTTCTTTAGAAATAATTGGGCGGATATTAAATATTCCTGCCTGAGAATGTCTTTGCAAGTGTAGTTTATCTTCGGCGCGCTGAAGATGGCCTTTCGTTCTGGTTTCCTATTGCCGTTACACTTTTTATACCCTGTACGCAAAGTGAAGAAGAGTTTATTGACTTACAGCAATGACTATGTCTGACTATATAACACGGTGACTAGCCTCTAGGCATATTCTAAAGTCACCGTTTGACAGTCACAGCTCATTAGTTACAGTCTTAGAGTCACCTAAGAAATAAACAAAGCCGACTTTAAACCAAATCAATTGGCAAATTACACTGCAAACAGGGTATTGCGCCGTCGGTGTCAGCCATACTCACTTATTACATATTTGCCTTGTTTTTTTAATTTACGTCAACTCAAAATCAAAGCAAAGTCAAAGCAAGTTGTCTGCCCGAGGTCTGGTCTGGTGTCTATATAGTGAAGGAAGTCGGCTCTCGCGTCTATATAGAGACCGCACACATTGCCGACGCGCACAATTAAGAATATTTCTAACAGCCAAACAAACTGGGCCAGCAGAACGATGGGCGGGGAAGGGGAGTAGCCAGGAGGCAGAGGCTATTAGCAAACTGTCTCAAATATCAAAGGGCACTCGCAACTTGTGACCTGACTTGCCTCACTCAGTCGCTGACATGCAGCAATTAGCAGCAGTTCTCTAGATAATTATTATACTTATTATTCTAAATCTGATTACAAAATTCAAATATGTTTTAAACTTTTGGTTAAAGTCATAAATTAAATGGAACTTTTCTTCTATGTCTTCGATAATAACACGCATCGTTAGATATCGATATTGAATATGCTTTAAGCATATCTCGAGGATTATAACAGTTAGAGATACACACTTGGGAAAGCTATCCCCCAATATTATAAAAACCTCATTTCTGCATTCATAACCTTGTGCTTTTCTATGAATAGTTCTGTAAAACTTATCTCTAGCGATATGTTGTCCAATAGTTAGTACCCCATAGTATGTAAAATAAATTCTTGCATAACTTCGGTACTTATAGTCCGATCTTTATGTAGGGGAATGGGAAGAGTGAAATGTTTACAATATTATGAAAATTTGAGGAGAAAATGAGAAACTCTTTACACTTATAGTAAGGGGAAATACATATTTCAAGACTCTCGCTTTTGTCGTCTCTATAATCAATCGAACGGAAAGATATATACACCTTATATAGAAGCTTGCCTCCGCTTGTTGCTTACATTTGCACAAAAACAGGGTATATAAACCTTGGAATTTGGTCTCTCTAATTTGACATTTTTTTTTAAATATTTCCGAATTGTTTTTTATTTTTTTTTTTTGTCACATTTCGCAAGCGCCTCAAAACTATGGAAATTGTTAATTTGAGGCAAAACGTAATTTGCCAAGAAAGTATGCAGGGACGTGACCCCGCCAATGCCCAACAGATGGCGCTTCAAAGTTAAAAAGCTTCTCGCTTTCAATTTGCAATATCAAAGTGTGTGTGTGTGTGTGTGTGTGTGTGTGTGCAAACACATCAAAACGACTGTCACAACAAAGCGACACGAACCAAAGTGAAAATTGTCAATTAAATGACAAAAAAGAAACACTTATCTATGCACACATACACAGTTAGATGCATATAGTATACAAATATAGATATGCACATACACATGCATGTGTACATATGCATGCGTACACATTACACATGTGTATGTATATGGTGGTAACAGCTTTCCGATTTGTCCGCTCGCACATTGTGTAAAAGATCAAAGGCACTTAATGGCCCGACTGAGTGTGACCGTTTGTCGCGGGGGAGTGTGTGTGGTGGGAGGGGGGTGGGGCGCCACTGGGTGGCTATACGGCAGGAAATCCGTTTGGGCTTTTGGCCTCAAACTTGACGCGACTTTAATTGACGAAAGGGGCAAATGGGAAAAATCAACAAAAGTGTAAAAAATCAGCGAGACAAACAACGCACACATACACACACACACACACACAGGCACGCACACAAAGAAGCGGCAAAACAGAACGTAGCAGCAGCAACAATATGCAAAATTAAATAAGATGACGCGAATAAAAAAGCGCCAACAATAACAGTTACCAACATCAGCAAAAGCTGCGCCAAAAGTTCTTTCTCACATTTATTAAACAAATTACGCGAGCACGGCACAAAGCACACAAAATATGCGATAAATAAATACACAAGCACACGCGCACACACACACACGCACACATGTACATGTACATGCATGCACAATTAATAAACGAAGCAAATAATAAGAACAACAATATGCAGTAAGAAAAGAGAAAGCAAGCAATGCGAATGAAATATCGTCCGGAAGTTTCTAACACACAAAACTCGATTTGAACTTTGCGAGCGAGAGCGCAATGTAAAGAGCAGAAGAGCAGGAGAGTGGGAGAGTGGAAGAGTGGGAGAGTGGAACAGTGCGAGTGCGAGAGTGCGTGCGGTATTGTGCACGTTCAGTGTGCGGAAAGGAGTGCGGGCGAGTGCAGGGCGAGTGAGTGGCAAGCAAAGCTTCAATTTGGCACAGTGAAACACTAACAACAACATGCTGAGTGATGACGATGACATTTTAACGCTAATTAAAATAATAATAACAATAACAACAGCATCAACCACAACAACAATAACAGTTGGCACTTCAAGCAGCCAGATTATCTGCCAGCGTGCATGTGTATGTGCGTGTGTATATGCCAATGAGTCTCTCTCTCTCTGTGTGTGTGTGTGTGTGTGGGAGAGTCAATCGTTGTGCGAGCTTCAGTTGCTGCTGCTGTTGTTGTTGTTGTTGTTGCTGCCCGTCTCGCTGCGGTGATATTGCCACTTGCTCGACTTAAGCTCTCACTGCCTCTCCCGCGTTTCGTCGTTTCTTTTGCTGCTGATCCGCAGACAAAGTCGCGATTTACAGTGAGGCAAAGTGCCAAATGAATGGAATTTGAATTTTCAACCGTATCAAGTGCTTATTTTTTTTAATGGTAAGTCGAACACAAATGAATTTAACATTTTTATGTAACATAAGTAAATGTAAAATATGTGCTTAGATTAAAGCTGTACTAATGTACAGCTCTGCTCCTGGGCGAACATCTGCTACTATTTATAACATTAAGGATTTTGTTTTTTTTTTTTCTTTTAACTATTTGTGGAACTTACAACGAATTATTCCAAGACAGTTTAATTATATTTATTTAATTGACGCATTTTTTCGCTTTTGTTTTTGCTTTTGTCTATGCTTCGAAATCTCCTTTATGCACTGTGAATATTCGCTAAGTTTGTCCAACTATAAAACAAAATGATATGACATACACATATTGAGTGGAACACATGTTAAGTTTATAACTTTCTATTTATTTTCATAATAAGACCATTAAACAATATGCTATGTCTCCCGCTTGTAGAAATCGTCATAAGATATTTATTTGCTTTTGTTAATCCGCCATAATTTATATTTGCATATACGTTAATTCATTGCCCCACTGTGGCTGTGTTTGTCGCTTCCCTTTTGCACACTCACACACACACGCACACATACATAGACAGACAGGCACTCACATATAAGCAATTGCCATTGCAATTAGCAGCTCAACTTGAGTGGAGAGGTGAGGGTGCGGGTGGAGTGGAGGTGGAGTGGCTGCAAAGCTGCAGCTTGAGCCGAAGACTGTGACTGTGACTGTGTGTGCGTGCGTGTGTGTGTGTGTCTGTAGGGCTCGTCGATAGCTTGTTGATTAATTTCTTTTTTATGCAAACTAAGCGGCTCGTCGCTTTGTCCGTCTATTGCGAGTGTGTGTGTGTGTGTGTGCGTGACTGTGCGCGTGGTGCAGGTGACAAAACCAGTTGCCGATTACTCGAACTGTAACTGTAACTGTAACAGTAACTGTAACAGTACTGGCTGCTATTTGGCTGGGTTTTTGGTTGATCTGTTGGTGGGGTAGGGGGGGGGGGGGGTGTCTAATGGCTTACCCTGCGCATGCAGCAGCGGGTGGTGCGGTGGCATTGGCATTGCTGACGACGACGGCGGCGGCGGCTGCTGTTGCGTATGATGCGTATGCGCTGCGTGTGGATGGTGCGAATGGTGGTGCGGATGCGGATGCGAATGCGGATGCGGATGATGATGATGATGATGATGCACTGCAGCGGCCAGCTGATGTGGCATAAATGCAGCGGCCACCGCAGCGTGTGCATTAAAATAGGCCATGCGCGAGGCGGCGGCCATTGTCAACTGTTGTTGTTGTTGTTGTTGCTGTTGTTGTTGCTGTTGTTGTTGTTGGTGATCCCTAAAATGTTGTTGCTGCTCCAATGTTGCCAAGCCGCCAGCTGCTGTTATTGTTGTTGCTGCACTGTTGTTGTAGTGCGTCGTGTTCACTGCCGCTGCCGCTGCCTCTGCCTCTGCTGTTGTTGTTGTTGTCTTTGGCGGCGTTGGCGTTTCGCGCGCATTGTTTGTTGCCGTTGTTGTTGCGGCTGTTGTTAGATCGGTTGCTGTTTCGCATGTTGTTGCCGCTGCTGCTGTTGTTGTTATCATTGTTGGTTTTGTGTCACATGTTGCTGTTGTTGTTGTTGTTGCTGCCGCCGCAACGGCCAGGCCGAGCAGCTCTTGTATGGCAAATGGCGAACGCTGCGGCATCGCGCGCGCTCCCTCTCTCTCTCTCTCTCTCGCCCGCTCTCTCTTTCCGCCTCTCTCTATCTCTGTCGCGTCTAATTAGTTATTTGAAACTTTTGCGAATTCGAGTTCGAAAATGCAAACGCTTTCAACTGTTATTTTTGTTTCTGCTTTGAGCTGGCCTGCAAATTACTTAACTGTTGTTGTTGTTGTTGTTGTTGCTTTTGTTATGTTCGCTTTTAATTAAACGTTTGTGAAAGCTTGACCACGCGCGCTCTCTTTGGCGCGCTCTCTCTCTTCCTCTCTCGCTCTGAGCTAATATGCCGGCTGCTCGTGTGTGTGTGTGTGAGTGTGTGTGCTGCTATCTGTAGGCCGGCAACAATAACTATCGAGAATAACTGCACTTAACACTAAAAAAATGATTGCTTGGATTGTTGTTGGAAGCTCGCTCGCGTTTGTCACGCGTGTTATTTTTTTTAATTTTATTTTTGTCGCCTGTCGCCTGTCGCAAAAACACACAACAAATTCGCAATAATTTCCACGTTAAACTGTTGCCTGGCTTAATGTGCAGCAGGAGTTTTGTCGTCGCCATCGTCGTCGCCGTCGCCGTCGTCGTCGTCGTCGTCGTCGTCGTCGTCGTCGTCGTCGTCGTCGCCGACTACGTCGATGCCTGCTCCAGCGTTGGTGGTTGGGACCTGGCTAAAAAGTGTGCTGTGTGCGCGAGAACGGCGGCCCATCCAACGGTGGCATGCAACGTGCACGGGCAACGGCAACGGCAACGGCAACGGCAACGGCAACGGCAAAGGCAAAGGCAAAGGCAACGGCAACGGGATTTTGTTGCCTGACTTGGTCCTTGGCAGCGACGTTGTCAACGTTGTCGCCACTGTCGTTGCTGCGACGCTGCTGCGCTGTCGGCGTCGCTGGCACGCAACGGTAAATCAACACCAGCATCAGGGGCGGCGTCAGTCGACTGCCGCACAGCTAGCTGTGCCGCTCGCACACCCAATGCCATGCAGCGAGCCCGTCGAAGCGACAATTTCCCCTGCACAGCGTGCGAGCTCAATATGGCGCATGTGCGCAGCAGCATGCCGTGCGTGCGAGCAGCACAGCTGCTGTACACCAGCGTTTGGCTAGCTGTGCCGCTTCAACACACGCATTACTTCCAGTTGGCCTGGAAATCTTCCAGTCTTTCGAACAGTTTTCATTGTGTGCGTGCGCAGAGCTGCGCATGTATTGGTGCCCCTTTGCTGGTGTGTGTGTGGTGCCCATTTTGTATTGTTTGTGGTGCTGACCGCCCGCTGCCGCTAACGCTGCTGCGTCCGTTTATGGGGTGGGATCTACGGCAACGACAGCGGCAGCGCAGCGGCAGCATTCGGCTTGTTCAATGAAGGACGCCAATTTATAGCCAAAAAAAAACCGAGTCGAGACTAGCAGGAGTTGTAAAAACTACGAGCAGCAGTTGTTGTTGTTGTTGTTGTTGTTGTTATTCGTTGGTTCGTTCGTTCGTTCTTGTTTGTGGGGCGCACACTAAAAAAGCCGTCTAATTAAAATGTTGCCGAACTTTTGCCATTAAAATGGCCAAAATTAACTGTTTACAACGGCGCCGCTTGCAATAGCTGCGACTGCGGCGAACAGCAAATGCAGCGACAAGTTGCCAGCGCTGATCTCGAAACACAAACACAACAACAGCAACAACAAGCAAGGCAAACTACAATTTGCAACGGTGCTTTTGTTATTCGCCTCAAAGCGCTCTTTTCTCACGCCCATCAAATGCGTCTTTAGAAGCCGCAACGGTAGCCCCCACGCGCGAGCTTTTTCGCCGCAAGTCTGTTAAACAATCGAAATGCCAAAGCTCCAATAACAACAACAACAATAACAATCTTAGTTGTGTGTGCATTTACGACAACTTCGCGTCGCCGCCGTCTCTTTGTCTACGGCAGCGGCCACGCAGTCTGGCGACGCTTAGCGAGCGAGAGAGAGAGAGAGAGAGCGAGCGCCTAGAATCAAATAGCTGGCCGTGGGAGAGCGAGCGATCGAGGCCGCGCAACTGCGTAGCTTGAGAATGCGACGTGGAGTAATTTGATATTTTGCTGCGCAGGTTGTGCGCGCGATCCTGGCCTGGAAGTATGGAAGGATGGAATGTGGAATGGGAAACGTGCATGATTCATGCTGTGAGCATTTTTAATGCGAATTTCATTCGCGCTTGTGCTTCTTCAAATGCTTATTGTTAATTAACTTTGCAATTAGAAGGGCGGGGAGCGGACGGGACAATGCCAATAAGAAATATACAAAATACAATTCGAGGCCTGTCAAAATACGAAATATGTATATTGAATTTCCTCTAAGCTATTTATAATGAGCAAGGCCATGATGATGATAAAGATGATGATGATGATGATGATAATGGATGCTACCTGGTAACCTGATACGCTGGCATAGTTTTCATATTAGGCATAAACAACTTTCAGCTGGCGACCATTTGGCTACAGTCGTGTGTGTGCGTGTGTGTGTGTGTCTGTGTGTGTGTGTGTGTGTGTGTGTGTGTGTGTGTGTGTGTGTGTGTGTGTGTGTGTGTGTGTGTGTGTTTCCATGTCCTTCCCTGTTTGTCCTTCAACTTGCAGCTTTGTTTTGCAAATATTTTGACGTGCGATTCTCACGAACATACCTGAAATCTTCTTTCTTTGTATACCCTGTTCACACAGCGCCAATGGGGTATACTGTGTGTGAGCTACACGCCCATACGCCCATACGCGCACCTTGACAGTTTGACAGCCTTGGGCAACACAGTTTGAGAGCCGTCTGTCCGCTCGACAGTTGCAGTGGGTAAGTTCTAGGGTATTGTGCAGTCGATTGCAGTCGACATTTGTGCATTTGCACAGGGTGCCACGCAAGCACAGGGTGCCTCGGCTTGACAGTTAATGTTGCTGGCCGACAAATGACTCAATTAACGCTTTAGAGCTCAAGTGGTCCGTTTCGAGTGCGAAAGTTGCCCAAAAACACGCAAAGAAGAAGAAGAAGATGAAGAAGAAGAAGCAGCAGCAGCAGCAGTTCGACTTTGAGTTGGAGTTTCGAGTTTCGAACTCGAAACAAAACAAAAAATAAAAAATAATAATACAATTGTTGCGTCTGTCAATGATGTGTCGAGTCTTTATTTATACGGCTTTGTTCAATGCACGAAACGACAAAACTTAATTATGAACAATTAAAGTTCAGTTAGATTTATTTATTTATTCATTTATTGTTTCTATTTTGTTTTTGGGCAATTGCTTCAAAAAAGAGCTGTCATAAAAAAACCTGAAGAGCCGTTGTAAAACTTGCCAAAATGCCATTGTTCAAATGTTGTTATACCCTGTAACTGTACATACAGAGCGGGTATAATGCTGCTGATGCACGTGTATGTAACGCACAAATAACTTTCAGTATACATCTATATACATATATATGTATATATATATACTATTCATGTATCTGGATAGTTCAGGCCACGATCCGTCGGCTTGTAATGCGTTTATCTCGGGAACTTTAGGAGCTAGACATTTGCAAATTGGTATGTTGTTATACGAGAAACGGCTGCACATATGCTCTATACGCATTACAGGGTATCTACCAGTCATGCACGCTAGACTTGCTGTTGTTGTTTCCATTGTTGTGTAATTAAGTTGTTTCGCTTTTGGACATTTGAGCATATAATGAACGCATCTCTCGGATCTTCAAACTCAGCTGCCGGCCATTTTGCTGTTGGCCATCAAAAAAGCACAACAACAACAACAACAACAACAACAACAACAACAACAACAACAACAACATGCAGAAGAGACAGACAATATTATTGTCACACAATTGTTGGCATTGTTGCTGTCTAGTGATTAGTTGAAAGCCCAATTGCCGCACAATGGCAGCTCAATAATAATACATAATTATAATAATAATAATAATAATAATCGAGCATAAGCGAAAACAAGATAATTGAGAAATCAATCAAATAATGCGTGGACACTGTTCGAGCTGAGATACCCTTTTGAGTTTTTATTGCACAGTTAAACTGTGCCTGTGAACCGGTTCCAAAGTGGTTCACAAGTGGCTAAAGACCATTAGTCGGGCACATTCGACCTATTTAGATACCCTGTAGCGACTGGAGCAAATGCTGTGCTTCTTCTTAACTCTACTAATTAGTCTGGAGAATCCATTTTTGCATAACTTCGGTTCTTACAGTCCGATTCATCTGATTTTTTCAGGGCTTAAGAATTGCAGACAAGGACAGACAAAGACAGACAGACATATTTAATTTCGCTTCTCTTGCTATAAAAAGGCCTGTTTTATACATTTCCACAAATCCAATATGCCCGTTTCAATGGGGGCAGAGTGTAAAAATGAGCTAAGCTGGGTTATATAAGGATTGACCAAGTGTATGCTTAAAAGTTAGTTAGGCAACTGATACGAACCAGTAAATGAACCAGTCAATGAACCAGTATCCGAAGCAGTATAAGAATGAGAATACGAACTAGCATAGGAACCAGTATACGAATCAGTATAGGAACTAGTATAGGAACCAGTATAGGAACCAGTATAGGAACCAGTATGGGAACCATGATACGATCTAGCATGCAATCTAGCATACGAACCAGCATATGAACCAGTAAAGCAACCAGTTTAGGACCCAGTATAAGAACCAGTAAAGCAACCAGTATAGGAACCAGTATAGGAACTAGTATAGGAACCAGTATGGGAACCAGTATACGACCTAGCGTACGAACTAGCATACGAACCAGCATATGAACAAGTAAAGCAACCAGTATAAAAACCAGTATTGGCACCAGTATAGGAACCTGTATACGAACCAGTATATGAACCGGAATACGAACCAGTAAACGCACTACTTTACGAGCCAATATACGAACCAATATAGGCACCAGAACAGGAACTAGTATCCGAAATAGTATGTTAGCTAGTATACGAATCAGTATATTAACTAGTATATGAACTAGTCTGGGAACTAGTCTGGGAACTGGTTCAAAAGTTCAGTG